AATTGCCAGATGGCCAGTCCGCCCCTGTGTGTGACCTCCTACTGCTGTTGGTTAAAAGCCTCACCGCTGCATTCTGCACAACTTGCAATCGATCCATAGAAGATTTGATTAGACAAGTGAACAGAACATTACAATAAACCCATTGTGAAGAGATTAAGGCATAAACAAGCATCTCCATCTCTTCTTTGACACAGAAATGTTGCTCAGATGAAAAAATACAAACAACAGATTTAACATGGCTATTAAAACACAGAGCTCGATTACAGATGACACCAAGATTCCTAATATCACTGCAGTTTGAAGATGACAAACCCCCAAAAACTTGCCTGATCATCGGGGTGATGCTAACTGGAGCAAAAATCAGCATTTCAGTTTTATTAGGGCTCAGTTGCAGAAAATTGTCTGCCATCCATATGTTAATGTGGACGAAACAATCCTGCAAGAGAGACAGTTTGTCTAACCTGTCAGGGATAAAAGAAAATATAATTGTACATCATCTGCATAGCAGTGGTAAGATATAACTTTAAAACTATTAACAATCTTGCTGAGAGGGAGCATATATAAATTTAAAAAAAGAGGGCCTAGGACAGAACCTTGAGGCACACCACAGGACAGATGAACAGAGTCTGATATATGAGTTCTTATGGACACAGAAAAACTGTCAGCAAGATAGGCTTTACATACACGGAAATAAAAGAGACAAGTACAAATAAAATAGAAACAAATAACATAAAAAAGATGAAAACAGCATTGAGACAGTTTTTCCATATTCCAAAACACCGGTGTGTCATATTGTCTAGTATTCTATTTCAGCCTTCAAATGCTAATTATTGCTATTTTCAATCTCTCTCCAACTAATATTCTGGACAATTGCTCGTCAAGTTGAGTAGGTATTAGGGGTGTAACGATACACTCAGCTCACGATACGATGTGTATCACGATATAATGTTCACGATTCGATATGTATCACGATATTTGGAATAAAAATTGAAAATTAAAGTGAAATGCAAATTTTACCAAGTAAACTATTTTTTATGTATTTATTTTGTTTTAACTTGTTAAACTGAACCTTCTTTAAGAAAATAAATTAAACAGGCCTGTCTCTGAAAAATAAAACAATTTAAAAACTTCTTAAAAAATATTATTGAAATGACAGAGACAAAATTAAGGAAAAATTTAAGTAAAGGTGCAAAAAAAAAAAAAGCTTTCTATTCAATTGAATTTAACAGTAAGAGCTTAAGACTTTGCTTGGTCACTTGCGTTTTTTGTGTGTGCAAAAAAAAATCCACATTTCCAGGTATTTAATTCATATTTAAATAAATTCATTTAGAGATATCTCTAATTGTCATTCTGACTAGTCGAATTATAATTATGACTAGTCAAAATATAATTAGAGATATCTCTAAATATATTTATGGATAGTCAGAACAAAGGTTTAAATGCTAAAACGGCTTGCCATACGCGCGCGTCTATCAAAGTCCGCCCTCTGTAGTAACAGTTCACTGTCAGCTCACGTCATGTGTGGTTTTGCGGCGGGAACATTATATGAAGACAGAATGATATTTTAGGGTGATTGTACCTTATAAATACAGTATGTGACTCTTTCAACCCCATTAGGAGGTATCCCTGTCGCTGTGCAAAGTATGTAAATCACTGTGAAGACTTTAAAACTTCGGCCATGTTTGACCCAGTATGCGTGTCAAAAAGCGGACGAGTCTAAAGCAATTACTGTACAACCGAAATGTTGCCAGACGTCTGATTTTGAGAGGATGGGCCATCCTCTATTTCAGCTCCACTCATCTTGGTCTGCTAACATTACTGCTGCTGCAATCTGAACTCACGTGCGACAGCAGGTGGAACGTAGCTCACGTGCAAACAGCTCAACTAATAAGAGAAAACGGACGTCGTATCGTAATCAAATCGTCATAACGCCACGATGCATATTGTGACATTTTTGCATCGCAATAAATCGTACAATGATAAATCGTTACAGCCCTAGTAGGTATTTATTGCCATTTCAGCCATATACAGTTAGTATTAGCTTATTCATGCTTTCATGACCTCTCGATTAATTATTGTAATGCAGTAATATGATCATATTTCTTTGTTCTAGAAAGCACTCTAGCAGCTGCATTTTGAACTAGCTGAAGTTTGTTAATTAGGCCAGCAAAGCAACCACCTAGTAACGCAGTTCTTTCATCATTGCATTGGCTCCCTAATAAATGTTGTATAAATATTACAATTTTATTGACTACAAAACCCTAAACGGCTTAGCTCTCCAGTATTTGAGGGAGCTCCTGGTGTTTTACAGCTCCTCACATCCGATACGCTCAATTAATTCTGGACAATTTATTATTACCAGAATATCAAAATCAACTGTAGGCAGTAGATCTTTCTTATATCTGGCACCTTAACTCTGGAACAGCCTTCCTAGCACAGTTCGGGAGGCAGACTCACTTTGTTAGTTTAAAACGAGATTAAAGACACATCTCTTTGCATTAGCATACTCATATAACACAAATGCTTTTGAAATCCAAATCTTCTAAAGGATTGTTAGTGTGCATTATTTAGGGCAACCAGAGTCAGAAACACTTCCAAAAACACATTATAATTTGAACGGCATCTACATTTATGTTAGTCGGTTTCTCCTTATCCAGAGGTCTCCATAATCCTGGACCAGGCCGTATCCTGAGTAGATGCTGTGGTGGTCATAATGGAGTGGAGAGCATGAGACTGATTCCTGAAAGACCCCAAAGACAGGTTAGTCTCCACATTGATCCCGTGGGCCAGCCTGCACACTTCTGCAGTCCAGTGTTTGTCCAGCCTCCGGCGCCTAGACCTCAGCTCTGCACAGGAAGTTTGGTCAGAGGAGAAATGGTCGTGCACAACTGAGCCTGGTTTCTGCTTCACTTTCGTCAATTGGTGAAGTTTGTTCCTCATTACTGTCACCACTGGCTTGCTTGGTTTGGGATTTGTGGAGATGCGCATCGATGGATTCAGTGACTTTCAGCAGTGAAAATTAAACTACACCGAGCTAAACTACTACTACTACTGAAAACTGGACTGACACAGTTTCAATTTACAGGAACTTGCTTTGACACAATCTACATTGTAAAAGTGCTATAGAGCGATGAACTGAATGGATTGGACCAAGGTGGCCTGTCATAAGGCCTATCATACTGGCTTGTCATAAGCAATACCAGCCTAATCTCAAGAGGAAACGTAACTACTACACATTTTTGACAGTTTATTGGCTAATTCATACAAATTTAATTGAGTTCAGTCATACGAACATATATGATTTTTAAAAGGAGGTGTGGCACCAAACTCCACCCCTAAACCCAAACATCATTGGGGGATGAGCAAATCAAACTAAAATGTACAAATTAGGCCGTGCGAAATCATCCAAAATAGCTAATAAATCAAAATGTTACACATTGCCGTGAGATCACATTAGTGATGCAGTGTTTTTGGTTTGGTTTTTTCACTGATGTGCAAACGTGGATGGTTTTGAAAACATTGTCATGTAAATGTGAAACTTTAAAAAGCAAGGGGAAAATCTTTTCCAATTTTAGTTTCAGCGTTCTCATGTAAACATAGCCTAAAATACCATTTAAAAATGAAAAGGCTCAAGTGTAAATGCACTCTAAGTTGGCTGATCACACCGAACGCGCTTTTTGCGTAAAGAGCTTTTTTGAATGATTTACGAACGGCCGCAAACATTTTGCATCCTGCGCGTCTCACTTTTTAACCGCCTGCTGCTCCTTACGTTTTTGCCGTTGCAGGCTGTGCTCTCGCAGTTGTAAAAATTAAACTCTGAGCGAAAAAAGCGCATTACGTCACTCGCGTCTTTTTCATTCTTCAATCAAATGAAAGCAGAGGCGGGGTTTCTGCTGAAGTGACAGCAGTTTTTACGTTGTTCAGACAACTACGGAGATTTTTGAAGATGGAGGAGAGACTTGTGGTTGCTGTTTTGATTTATCTGGTGCTGTATGACTCACTAATCTTGAATATCACAATATTATTAAGCATTAAAATTATACCAATATCAAAAGCAACACTCGCTCACGATCCCCAGCTTATTCAGTCATGGCCTTGCGACATAAAAGACGTTTATTTTAAAACGGAAAAGTGCATTTGGTTTGATCGGCCCCTAATACTGGTAGTTAATGCACAATTAATATATTTATTGCTGCTTTTGAAATTCATGTGCTGCCTAAACATGCAGCAAAGACAGAAATTACATTTCTCATCATTATTATACCCACATTTGAACCTGAAATTGGTTTTAAGTGTCTTTTTACATATCAGCCTCGCTTTTATTTTAGCTTAATTAATTTATTAATTTTCCTTCGGCTTAGTCCCTTTATTAATCTGGGGTCGCCACAGCGGAATGAACCGCCAACTTATCCAGCATATGTTTTACACAGCGGATGCCCTTCCAGCCGTAACTCTACTATACTGGGAAACATCCATAAGCACTCATTCACACACATATAATACAGCCAATTTAATCCACACAAACACAGGGAGAACATGCAAGCACCACAAAGAAATGCCAACTGGCCCAGCCGGGACTCAAACCAGAGACCTTCTTGCTGTGCGGCAACAGTACTAACCACTGAGCCGCCCTATTTTTGCTTGTTAAATACTTAATTTATACAAAAAATACCCTTTAATTAAAATTCTATTAAAACTCAATTAAATTTTGATTAAAAAAGCCATTCTTCAAACACGTAACATATAAATTTTTTATATTAGTTTAGCAAAGCTTATGCTAGCAAAAATAAACATACAAACATTCAACAAAACTCCTGCCTTTTCACTGCTGGCTAATCTAAAAGGCTCTTATTGGTTCGTGAGCTCAATAGGAATGTGTGATTGGTTATAATGTCTTAAACAAAAAGGCTGTTTGTTATAAAAAGAGAGTATAACAAACATAATATCTAATTATGCAGCAATATTTACATTTTTGGGCCATTTTTTTACCATTCACTTACTTCCACGATGTCTGAGTTGGTTCTGCTCTCGTGAGGTTCGTTGTATTCTGTGTACTTGAGCAAGACCTTGTCCATGTCTGTGCTGGCGTACTGGAAGAGCTTATTGGAGCTGTTGAAGATAATCAGGGCTATTTCACAATCACACAGAACGCTGAGCTCATACGCCTTCTTCATCAGTCCAAACTTCCTCTTCGTGAACGTCACCTATGAAAACAATAGGAGAAATTACAGAAATGTCAACTTAGAGATGAGATCAACTTAGAGTTCAGGTAATTAGATCTGTTCACTATTGAATGATGTGAGTTTGCATTAAACCAAACATTTGAGCGCAAAAATCTATATTTTTTGCAAAAAATTATTATTAAAAATGTTATTAAATTATTACAAATTATTCATTTTAATTAGCTAAAAATTTTAATTATGAAGGATCATGTATATTTTAATTCATTAAATGTGAAAGCCCCCTGAGATCTCATTTTTGAGGGGGTCCCCAAGTAATCATGGGGTAACAATGGTGAAATTCAGCTTTGCTGTATATTGAAACAGAAGAAATTCTTTTACATTTTTAATAATATTTTACAAAAATACAGTGTTTATTGCATTTTTGATTAAATAAATGCTGCCTAGGTCAGAATAAATGCACATTTCTTGAATTTCTATCTATAAATATTTAAACAACAGTTCTGTCTGTTACTTGAATCTGATTGGCTGATGGCTGTGCGATATTTTGCCAGTAACATCACACAAAGGACTCTTCACCCTTCACCTCTGTGTAATACTCCGCCCACATACAGCAAGCAACAAGCAGAGATGCTACAGTTTGATAAATATTATGTTGTTAGACAACAAAATGTACTTTTGAGGCTTTTTTAGTCGAGAATCTAGTTGTTTAGATTGCAACTATGCAGTTTATTTGTAAGAATAGTGCCTATTTTTAAATATTTACAATTTCTGAGAGCTCGTCGGCAGCCAAAGACGGATGACGTTTTCTATCCACAAGATGGCGTCAGAACCGCATAATAAGCCCTTTGCTCAGTGTGTTCTCTTGAGCGCGAATAAAAAGCTGAAAAACGGAAGCCTTGTGGTTTTTAAGGTGGACCAGATAAAGTCAATAAGAAGCTGCTAATAAGAAGCTGGATTCAGCCTTGTCCCTTCTTATCGCAAACACAACAGCAGTCTGGTGAGAAATCTCTGTGAATGGATGGCATATCATGTCACGTTCAGCCTTATAATCTTAAAATGTGAGCAAAAATTGCTCTTTTGTCATCACCTTAAGGGGGGTCACACACCAGAAGCGCCACTTCACATTATGCTATAGAGAATCATTCAAATACTAGCTCTAGCTATATACGGTGGTGAATTAGTCAGCTGCAGATGTGAATGAATGGTGGAAGAAAGTAGTTCCTAATACAAAAGAGTTTTAGACTCTCCCTGTTTGATTTTTTTATTTTATGTACAAGATTGTGCTGTCGAACTGTTGTATAAACAGAGGCCTGCGGCCTCGTGCCAACACACGCCTCCCACCAGTGCTGATAAACAACCATAGCACACTGCTACTCATGTGATTTTACTCATATATATATATATATATATATATATATATATATATATATATATATATATATATATATATGTGTGTGTGTGTGTGTGTGTGTGTGTGTGTGTGTGTGTGTGTGTGTGTGTGTGTGTGTGTTCTTTCTGACACCTTAAACTTTGTGGAAATTTAAAAAAGGAAAAAGATTAATTTAATTTAATCTTAATTAAAAGTTTCCCTTTTTAATTTAATTTTCCCTTTTTAAATTTCAATTAGTTTTAATTCAAAAATTTCCCTTTTTAATTCAATTTTCCCTTTTTAATTTTTTAAAAAATATTTCCCATTTTTAATTTATTATAATTTTTTTCTTTTTTATTTAATTAAAATTTCTCCCCTTTAATTTTATTTGGTTTTCCCCCTTTTTTAAATTTAATTGAATTTTCCCTTTTTATTTAATAAATTTTTTTATTTTTAATTTAATTTAATATTTCTTTTACCTTTTCTCTTTCAATTCAAATTAATTTGATGTAATTTAATTACAATTTTCGCTTTTTCATTTTAACTTAATTTTTTCCTTTTTAAATTTATTATTATTATTTTTCCCTTCTATAATTATTTTATTTTATTTATTTATTTTTTTTTTGTTTTTCCCCTTTTAATTTAATTAAATTTAATTAAATTTAAGTTAACAAATCTGGCCTCCTAACATCAGTATCTATTTAATTTTCTTATTACCTCCAATATATTTTTAAAATGTTTGCTGCATTAGACTAATGAGGAATCATCATATTATTCACACACTTTTGTTCTTTTGTTGCTTTGATTACTTATACTCTCTGCATTTGTTGCAAGTTGTTTTGGATGAAGGGTCTGCTTAATTATTGCATCATTTCATCATCACATTGATATTGTATTTCTAATAACAACACCAACAGAAACCCATTTAAATGTCTCACATCAAACTGTCGAAAAAACAGAATAAATGCATCTCCAAGCTTTTAACACACTTGAAAAAAAGTGTTTTGGTACTGTATTGTTTTTTCCCTAAGCGTGTGCTCATTAATAGCATGAGAACAAGTCATTCTTCACCACTGTCAGATGCTGTCAGCTGTCAGGGTTGCCAGATCTTCTCATGTTTCCTGCCAATTATCGCCCTCTCTGAGGAATCTCGAGCTTGTTGCCACTTCACAGCTGAGGGCCAGATCCTTACAGCAGCGCACGAAACACAGAGTGTGTTTATCGCCAATGTCACAGTGCAAAAACACATTTGAAATGCCTAAATGTGGTTCCAGAGACTCTTAAAGAGGCAGGACTTTGAATTATAAGACTTCATTTGAATGGTTCCCTTTTAGACATTATGTTCACTACATGTAATGCTGAAATGACACATCAACTAGCAGTCATTAGTAGACTATGCGATGAATATATCTGCCACTTCTGTATAAAAATACTTGTTAATATCTGTGATTCACAAGTGTTTTCTGTTTATTTACGATTGTGAATTGTATAATGGGATGTTGACCTTTGCTTTGTTGACTTTAAATGTTGAAAAGTCAACTCTAAAGCTTAACTAAGTGACTTTTATTGACATTTTAGAAGTTTGAAATATTATAACGTAAAAGAAATTATATACAGAGAGAATTAAGTCTGTAAAATAAGAGAAAATGTACAGGCAGTTTATTACAAGGGTTTTGTAGCACAATATATAACACCATCACAGGCAATATATCACTTTAAACTATTAAAAATGGGAATGAAAATCACCCTTTTCCAACTTTTTAAGGTTAAAAGTTGTTGTAAGAAAGATCAAGATCCCATGATGCGACTCAAAAGCATAAAAAGGGGGAAAATAATGAATCACAAAATACGAAAAACTGCTAACCTACAGATATTTTTACAAAGCTGCAAAAACACACACAATAATCTGTCAGACTGGAAACGCAAGCTCGTGCGACAAGTTCACAGTTCGCTGCGTTGAGTGAACTCTGACCTGCGAAACCGTATCACGTGACAGCATGAGACCAATTGAGAATCAAAGCATGACCTCTCTGGACAGAAATTTTAAATATGGACCAATCGCTCGCTTTTTTAAATGTCTATTCATCTGGTTTAATCCCGTTCCTTTACACAGTGCCGTACAACAGAATTTCACATGCTCAAACTCCGCACTCAGCTGTGTGACCGCAGCTTCATTCTTAAGATGTTTCAGCAGCTTCATTGGAGTTCACTTGTGTTAAATTCAGTTGATCGGACTTGATTTGAAAAGTGGCCCAGCCAAAGCCCAGACCTAAATCCTATAGGACATCTCTGGAGAGATCTGAAAATGACTGTACACCGTCGCTTCCCATCCAACCTGATAGAGCTTGAGAGGTACTGCAAAGAGGAATGGGCAAAAACTCCCAAAGAAAGGTGTGCCAAGCTTGCAGCATCATATTCAGAAAGACTTGAGGCTGTAAAAAAAGTGCATCAACAAAGTATTGAGCAAAGGCTGTGAACAATGACGTAAATGTGATTTTTCAGGGTTTTATATTTAATAAATTTGCAACAATTTCAAAAACTCTTTGTTCACATTGTCATTATGGGGTATTGTGTGTAGAATTTTGAGGAAATAAATGAACGGAATCCATTTTGGAATAAGGTAACATAAAAAATGTGTAAAAAGTGAAGCGCTATAAATACTTTCCAGGTGCACTGTGTTCTACTAACCCTAAACAAAATCTTGCCCTAACATAATTATCTAATATTACTCTACTAATACTGAAATGAGATTTGACTTGTCACTGGTAAGTTACCAAAAAAAATCTGTTAAAATTAATTGTCTCGTAACTATTAATAAGCAGCAAATTAGTAGTTTATTGAGCAAAGTCATACTTAATAGTGAGAATTTACCTTAAAATAAAGTGTGACCGTATTTTCTTTTTAAAGCTAATCCTACAATCAATTACTGGTTTACAGTAAATAGATAAATATATACAGTTGAAGTGCAAACTATTAGCACTATAAGCATAATATTAATTGTTTTTTTTATGTATTACCCAAATGATGCTTAACAGAGCAAAGACATTTTTCACAGTATTTCTTATAATATTTTTTCTTCTGGAGAAAATCTTATTTGTTTAAATTTCGGCTAGAATAAAAGCAGCTTTAATTTTTTTTTCTCCATTTTTAAGGTCAGTATGTAAGCTTCATACCCAGTGGTTGAACGAGGTATTGCAATCCTGGATCAAGACAAAAACAAAGCACAGGTTGCCAGAAAAGATCAAGTCTGATGATCACGTTGTAAATAAAAGCAATGACACACGATAGAAAGAATATTTTCAATATTAAAATTAGTTTTTTTTTTTAAAGTAACATATCAAATTGATATATTAGAAATGGCTTCTATTGCAGCTGAACAACAGGATACACTGACAATGATCACCTCAGGTACATCTCATGTGCTTTAATTAATGCTAACAATGTGAGTTTGAATGCCATTTTACAGCAGCAGATCTTGAAAATAAAATAAACCATTTAAACTTCATTACTGTGACTCAGAACACCCATTAGTGATTCAGCATCTATAATATTAAAGAGGTTTAATATGTATGAATTAGATTGTAAACCTTACCATTTCGTGAGTGAGTGCATCTGTGCTTCTGAATGGCTGCATTTCAATTTCTGTCGAGTTTTGTCTGATGCAAACAAACAAATTGCTCATCACTGCGTATCTCATCACGTAAAGTGTTGTTAGGACACGGGGTTACAATTTAACCTGCTCACCTAATGTTCACATTAGTAAGATTTATATTATTGGCTAATTAATAACCTCATGTGGAACTTTGAATCTGCGTGTCATTTCAGAGTCTGCTACTGTCCACCAGAGGTCGCATTTCAGTCACGAGTGCATGCTGTGAGAGACTTTCAGAATGAATAAATGAAATATGCAGTTTTCCACCAAGTCACCCCGGCATGCTGAAATATAATTGGCTAAACTGTCATTGGATGGGTTAAAAGAACCAAAACAAAGACAGACTTTCCACCACGGAAAGCACACATTTAAAGCAGAATATCTGACTTCGGCAAAGTTCACCTAGCATGTTTCCTAATTATCTGCAAACATATTATGATATTTTTAAGCTTTAGAATAGTCAAAAACGTACATACGGCACTTTTAAGCACAATTTTTTTTATTGTCTACAGATTAAACCACTGTTTAACATGACTTGCCTAATTACCCTAACTTGCCTAATTAGTTAAGCCTTTAAATGTCACTTTAAGCTGTATAGAAGTGTCTTGAAAAATATCTATAAAATATAATTTAATGTCATCATAACAAAGATAAAATAAATCAGTTATTAGAAATGAGTTATTAAAACTATTATGTTTAGAAATGTGTTGAAAAAAATCTTCTCTCCTTTAAACAAAAACTGGGAGTAAATATACAAGGGGGCTAATAATTCTGACTGCAGATGTATACTGTACTCCAACATACAGTGTGTCATTAAGTAAACCAGCGCAAATGTCTGATCAAAAAAGGCTTTCTGTACCAAAAATACTCCAGCGAACAAGAGCGCCCAGACTAGATAGAGTTTGTGGTGCTGGTTGGTATTTTAAATTTAGACTGGGTACATTCAGGCTTGTCTCTGTGGTTTAGCAGTGAGTGATGGCCATCGGGGCAGAGAGAGAGCCGTCTCAGACTGACCAGTTTCCTAATGAGAGATGTGGAGCCCTGAACTGCTCTAATTACTGCTACCACACCAACTGTACAAGAGCTCCAGTGTGGAGGAGAAGCGGCCTTCAGACACACTGTCTGACCAACACATTCAATAAACACACCAAGGAGCTCATTTCAGCAGATGTAAGCCATGTATGTTAGGAATGAAGGAAGATGTGGGACGTTACCACTGCTCTACAGCATTCTCCGCTAATACTGGCACTAGTGGTGTACAGTAACAAATTACAAATACTTAAATTACTGTAATTGAGGAATTGTAATTTACGAAGTAGTTTTAAAAATGTGTATTTGTACTTTCATTTTTAGTGTTGCATTGGTTATTTTACTTCAACCTGCAGTCACTACTTAATTTTTTCTTGTCTATGAGGATTGGCTGAGTAGAAAAATCTGTCCTGTGATTCCTGTCCAATCAAATCGCACGTAGAAAGTAAATCACATCATCATGCCAAACTGCCTCAATACTGTTTGGTGAATGTCCTTGAGTGGCCCAGCCAGAGCCCAGACCTAAATCCTATTGAACAAAAAAAGAAACTCCGTAAGACAGGTGTGCCAAGCCTGTGGCATCAAATTCCAAAAAGACTTGAAGCTGCACTGCAAAAAATGCTTTTCTTACTTAGATTTTTCGTGTTTTTTAATCAAAATATCGAAAATATAATATAAAATAAAAATATTTTCTTACTTGGATTTTTTCGTCTTGTTTCTAGTCTAGATATCTAAAAAGTCTTAAATCAAAAAGAATTTTCTAGGCAAGCAAAACATATAGTTTTATTTTAAGAAATAATATGCCTAAATTAATTGAGTTTTTTCTTAAAATAAGCAAGATAATCTTATTTTTCCTTTTGACAAGATTATTTTGCTCTCCCCGTTGTTAGATTATTTTGCTAGTTTTAAGGAAAAACTCACTTAATTTTGGCATATTATTTCTTAAAACAAGACTATATGTTTTGCTTGTCTAGAAAATTCTTTTTGATTTAAGAATTTGTAGATATCTGGACTAGAATCAAGACAAAAAATCTTAGTAAGAAAATATTTTTTTGCAGTGTGCTGCCAAAGGTGCATCAACAAAGTATTGAGCAAAGGCTGTGAATGCTTATGCATTAAAAATGTATTAAAGCATTAAAGGGGTTTACAAAACGATGTCCAAAATCTTTACACACAATGACAACGAGACTGTTTAGACTGCATGTCACTGATGAGAAGATGGCTGATGTCTACTGCATGACAAACCAAATAGTCTTTAGCAATAACTAAATAAATAGAATGTTATGTTTACACACACAATCACGAATAACATGCAAATGCATTAGCTTTTCACTGTGTATTACTAAATGCTCACTACTCATGAGTACTCCACTTTTTACTCAATTGAACAATATTTACAACAGATGTGTTTACTCTACCAGGCCCATCGCCAGCCTGATGAAAGGGGTGGGGGTTTTTTTTTCTCTCAAAAAGTGGACCTTTTTGCAGTTATAGGCCTCATTTAGGCTACTATTTAATTCTGAGATTTAAATATCTATAATTAAATACTATTTTAGTGACATTTTAAGCACTATTTTAGCTAAAATAGCTTGTCGGATGGTCATCATAATCAAAAAGGTATATTTTAAAATTCACGGATAACAACAATAGCCAAGCTATTATTCAAATTCATTTTAATATTGGTCACTTTTGGTGCTTCACACCTTTTCATTAGTCATTTTTTGTTTCAAGAATAAGGTCCAAGACTTGTTAGCATTGGCCAAAACTGATTAGCTGAAGTCACACCAAAGCGACAGCCAACAGAGGATTCCGCTTGGTCCTTAAAGCCTTCTTCAATGGATTATTTTCACTATTTATGATGGCATAGCGGGCAGCACAGTGGCGCAGTGGGTAACACAAACGCCATACAGCATAAAAGATTGCTGGTTCGAGTCCCGGCAGGGTCAATTGGCGTTTTTGTGTGGAGTTTGCATGTTCTCCCAGTGTTCGCGTGGGTTTCCTTCGGTTGCTCGTTTCCCCCACATGTGATAGGACAAAGACCAGCTTCCAAATAATCCACATATGCAGTTCAAACATTAATAATTTATTACCAATAATCCAGCTAGGGCTGCACGGTGGCCCAGTGGGTAGCATGTTCGCCTCACAGCAAGAAGGTCGCTGGTTCAAGTCTCGGCTGGGTCAGTTGGTGTTTCTGTGTGGAGTTTGCATGTTCTCCACGTGTTCACGTGGGTTTCCTCCGGGTGCTCCGGTTTCCCCCACAAGTCCAAAGACATGCGCTGTAGGTGAATTGGGTAAGCTAAATTGTCCGTAGTGTATGTGTGTGATTCTGGTGGTTTATTCCGCCGTGGCAACACCAGATTAATAAAGGGACTAAGCCGAAAGGAAAATGAATGCTAAATGTTTCACCGTTACATATTCCAGTCTGTATTTGTGAAGCAGATGTCCTCATCTCACCTGTCTGTTTCTCTCCTCCATTATGCGGGTAATCTGGATCTTCTTTCGCCCCATTGTCACTTCCCTTTGTTTCTATTCGCTAATCAGAATCCTCTTTCTTCTGCGGTGATTGTGCTCGATTATGTTTTGGTTTTACAGCATCGTATGAAAAGACCTCCTGTCTGCATTCTTCACCTCCACAGAACCTGCAAAAAAAATGGACAATCAACGTTAAGCAGCAAATCATATAAGAAAAACATAATATGTGACCACAAAACCAGTCATACATTTACAGATTTAAAGATGAAGAGCAAAGGATTAGCCCTCCTGTGAATTTTATTATTATTTTTTTTTAAATATTTCTCCAAATAACATTAAGCAATGAATTTTTCACAGTATTTCTATAATATTTTTTTCTTTCGAATAAAGTCTTATGTGTTTTATTTTAAATAATATAAAAGAAGCAATATTTATTTTGATTGTCTACAGCAGTGGTTCCCAAAGTGGGGTCGGGACCTCCCGGGGGAGTCATGGGACAAAAAAGAAGGTCACTTGGTGATTTCTAAAAGTCAAATTTTTCATTAATAAACCATAACCTGCTGAATCCATAACCTACTGAAGATTTTGTAGCCTATAGTTACAGCCTTTCTTTTTTTCTGTTTGATTGTGACCCTTGGGGTGATTGCATTATTAGAGACACAGGAATAGTGTCAGATGCAGCAGATTTTATGGCACCAGGTTAAACTTTGACACATTTACAGCACTCACATACATAAAAAAAATTAAACAAAGAATAGGCATGGGCCTAATGGTGTGTGTGCGCCACTGCATGCAGAGTTTGTATATTTATAACCATCTCAGAGGATATTGGGGGTTGCGAGTCACTGGCATTATTTTTGCGGTCGAAAAGTTTGGAAACCCTGAGTCTACAGAACAAACCGCTGTAAAACAATGGCTTGACCAAATAGCCTAACTTCCCTACTGTAATTAACCTAGTTAAGCCTTTAAATGACACTTTAAGCTGTATAGAAGTGTCTTGAAAAATACGTAGTAAAATATTATCTACTGTCATCATGACAAAGATAAAACAAATTAGAAATGAGTTATTAAAACTTTTAGTGTTTAGAAATTAAGAGAAAAAAAATTTTCAGGGGGGGGGGGGGGGGGGGGGGGAGGAGGGTTGGTGATAATTTAGGAGGGCTAATAATTCTGACTTTAACAGTAAATGAAAAACTGAAGCTTTTCATTGACGTTTGGTTTGTTCGGATATGACAAGATTTACAAAGCGAATTTAAAACTATTTGAAAATCTGGAATCTGAGCTTTCAAAAAACTCAAATACTGAGAAAACTGCCTTCAAATTGTCCAAAATAAGCCCTTAGCGATGAATGTTACTAATCATAAATTGAGTTTTGACATATTTACAGTAGGGAAATTTAAATCTTCACTGAACATGGTCTTTAGTTATTGTTTTAATGATTTTTAGCATAAAAGAAAAATCAATCATTCTGACTTATTCAACGCATTTTTTAGCAACTGCAAAAAATATAGCCATAAGACAGTTTTGCAGTCCAGGGTTTAGGGGTTTGCGGTCCACATATCACAAATTCAGACTTAAATTTATTTTCCTATGGGGAAACTAAAATTGCAGCAAGGTGCCTTAACACAAGCCAAGTTCCATGTACACAAGTTTTCACCATAAAACATACAACAGACCCCCACATATACTCGCATACACCCCCAGTATAATAACATATACTCACTGGCCACTTTGTTAGGTACACCGAACGAGTACTAAGCTGGACCCCCTTTTGCCTTCAGAACTGCCTTAATTCTTTGTGGCATAGATTCAACAAGAGACTGGAAATACTCCTCAGAGATTTGCATGCTCACATGACAGCATCACACAGTTGCTGCAGATCTGTCGGCTGCACATCCATGATGTGAATCTCAAGTTCCATCACATCCCAAAGGTGCTCTAATGGACTGAGATTTGGTGACTGTGGAGGCCATTTGGGTATAGTGAACTCATTGTCATGTTTAAGAAACCAGTCTGAGATGATTTGCGCTTTATGACATGGTGCGTTTACCTACTGGAAGTAGCCATCAGAAGACAAGCACACTGTAGTCATAAAGGGATGGACATGGCCAGCAACAATACTCAGGTCAGCTGTGGCATTAACGCGATGCTCAATTGGTACTAATGAGCCCAAATTGTGCCAAGAAAATATCCCCCACACCATTACACCACCACCAACCTGAACCATTGATACAAGGTAGAATAGATCTATGTTTTCATGTTGTTGATGCCAAATTCTGACCCTACCATCTGAACGTTGCAGCAGAAATCAAGACTCATCAGACCAGCCAATGTTTTCTCCAATCTTCTATTATCCAATTTGTATAAATGTTATACAGTATTAAAGTATAAATAATAACACATAAACAGTATAGATGAAAAAAGCCACCGCCATCATAATCAATTGCACATTTATAAACTCATCCATTTTAGAGATTTGTCCTGTAATCTGATTTGCTGGCTAGTGTAAACAATGTATTACTGTAAACCCACTGGATTATGGGTCAGGAAATGTCACTGCACAAATTCAGTAACAGTGCGTCTCATTAACATCGATTATTTCCCATCAAAAGCAAATCAGACCAGCACACAACCCATCATCAATCTGGAAATACAACATGTGATCTGGGAAATCCTGAATGAAAAGCAGCCATCAAAGCTTCAATTCAGGAGACGCTAAATGCAAAAACATTGTCAATTCTCCCATATAGAAATCTGATGTGTGACAATAGATGCAAATTATTTATGTGACATACTAGTTCATAGCTGGATTTTACATATATAAAATGTTTTATGCAACATACACATTAATTTAAATGACAGATTTGTGAGTTGTATACTCATACAGTATATGCTGAGCACTGTGTATTACATATATATATATATATATATATATATATATATATATATATATATATATATATATATATATATATATATATATACAGTATATGTATGTACAGTATATGTATGTATGTATACAGTGGGTAAAAAATATTATTTTAAATTATTATTAAAATTGTTATTGAAATATAATTATAAATTATTTTACACAAATCTCCCATTTAAATTAGTATTTTCTACAGGATGCTTTATATATATATATATATACACCATTGAACCATTGGAATAACAGATTTGTATACAGGTACAGTATACACATGTTAAAATAAATTAACTATAATTTTATTTACATGTTCATATATGGCCATATATGAATACACAATACACCGCTGGGGTTTGACTAATTTCAGGCTTGACTGCATGTGCATATTTGTGATTCCAATGGGCAAAAAAAAATATATATATATTGCATATGTATATATATATATGTATATATGTTGCATATGTATCATATATTGTATATTATTATTCATTCATTTTCCTTCAACTTCCCTTATTAGTCCCCTTTATTCATCAGGGGTCACCACAGCAGATACCCTTGAAGCTGCAACCCAGCACTGTAAAACACCCATACATAGACTCTCATCACACACATACCAATTTAGTTAATCCAATTCACCTATAGTGCTTGTCTTTGGACTGTGGGGGAAACTGGAGTACCTGGAGGAAACCCATGTGAACACAGGGAGAACATGCAAACTCCACATAGAAATGCCAACTGATCCAGCCGGGACTCGAACCAGCAACCGTATTGCTGTAAGGCGACAGTGCTAATCACTGAGCCATAGTGTCGCCTGTTTTGTATGAAATCTGTATATGAAATCCAAATTTATGAACTTGAATGTCATTTATATAATTTGCATATGTTTTCATAGATCAGACTTCTTTATGACTACAAATTTGTAGGTTTTAGATTTGATTTGGGCAGCGCGGCGGTGCAGTGGGTAAAGCTGTCACCTCACAGCAAGAAGGTCACTGGTTTGAGCCTTGGCTGGGTCAGTTGGCATTTTTGTGTGGAGTTTGTACACTATTCTCTCCGTATTGGCATGGTTTTCCTCCGGGTGCTCCGGTAAACTAAGTTGTCTGTGTGAATGAGAGAGTATGTATGCATGTACTCGAACCAGCGACATTCTTGGTGTGAAGCAGCAGCGCTAACCACTGAGCCAAAGTGCCACCCACGTTTTTTGTTGTTGTTTCTTTTAACTATATTCAGCATACTGTAATGATGAAAAAAATTTTTCTCATAATCCTTCTGTAAAAACATTTACCCTAAAATATCAAGTAAAAAAAAAAAAAACGTTCTTTCAATGCACATCGCAGGCCATCATATTCTCTCACATCAGTACAATACATCCAGTATATGCATCCTAAAATGATAAGAGAAATGAAATAACGGCTTACTTTTGTGTGTTTTTATCCCTCACTCAGAATGTTTTCCGGAGAACGGCATTACTCCAACTATTTCTCGACTTTTTGAAGCAGCTCCTCTTACTCTAAACCTGTTTTGTAGATAATTCCTGCCTGATGTTTGAAGTGAAGAAGATCTGATGGAAGACAAAGGAATAACACCCGCGTTCCCGCACTTTCACACCTTCCCGCTCATCTCCAGCGTTACCAGGGCAACCGACGAGATGCCTTACATATGATCCATCAACTCTGTCGAAGTGAAAGAAGGAGCCAATGCAACACTGCATGCTTTAGGCTTTTACATTTGACCTCTCGTATACCAAGAGTTCATATTAAAGTGAATGTGCAAAGAAAATGAACAAATTACCACATTTTAATTCACAACTAAAGGTCATCACTATTTGTGATTATGGAATATTTAGCAAAAGGCAGAAATGCAAGTATGATTTGCTAAGATGTGCGTAATGTAATTCTACTCTAATGTCCAGGTTTAGCAATAATGAAGTCTGCATAGTGGTCATTTCACCTGTCAAGAAGAATCTGCATTTGTGATTATTAAAATAAAATAAAAAACACATTTTTAAATACAAACAGGAATGTTCAGCACATTTAATAAATAAATAAATAAATAAATGTATTAAATATAAAGTATACAATAATAAATATTATACTATGAATTAAAATTTTATTAAAAAACAGAATACTGGTTAACATTTATCTCATAAAGTTGCAATAGCACGTCGCACTTTTGAAGCAAAAGAAAACTAAATAATACACTAGAGAGCGATTTAAAACAAACAGAATCGCTTCTATTTTT